GGGGTTAGCATATATATATATATACAGATCAGACTAAATTGGTGTACTGTCATTTAGGAATGTACGGAATGTGCGCGGGCAAAAACTCAATGCGATTTCGCATGGTTTCGCCCAAGAGGGCATATGAATGTACCCGGATGGCCGAATTTTGGAGAAGGGGCAAATGTGCAAATTCAATTGAATCCAAATTGACCCGAATTTGTAAAAAGCGCAGATGAGCGCTCACAGACTGTTGCAGAGTTTGCAAAATCATCAAACCCACTCCAGCAGTGTGGTGCGGAGAGGTTCTCGTGGGTGGCCGGACCGCAGGACACCAGCACAATAGCCTTGTTCGCGTCTATCCTCATGCTGCATGCTGCGGCCCAACTGCAAAACTCTTAAGACAGCAGTCAAAACACACACTTGGGCGGCATGCTTCTGCAGAGCTTGCTGCAAGGGATAGTGTATACCAGGACAGAACCCTCGCTCCTGATCTTCACAGCTTGCAACTATAGGTTTGCAGCTTCCACCACAAAGGCCTTGCGTCGGTTTACCTCCCTATAAGCCCTAAGAAACGTCCCTTCGTGCCCGAGAGATTTGCTGGGGAAGTAGCCACGCGCCCACAATACGGAGCCATGCGGTTTGGACTGCTTTGTTTGTTGTTTATATCTTGCTTTCCAAGCTGCGACTACAAACACAATCCGGGTCAGCAGTTGAAGCCATCTGTGTAGGCTTGTACCGTTATTGAGTCCGACACGCACAACGAAGAAGCTTATGGAAACTCGCGGCTGCCAACAGCTGTAGCGACGTTGAAAACTCATGGCTTGTTAAACAACAGATGCTGAAAGATACTACGAAGTAGGCTCTGACCCAATAGCTCGACTCTAGTGAACTTGGACGAGTTCTAAAGGGTTCTGCGAAACGAACTATTTTGTTACACCCTTTGTCGCTCCGGGACCGTCCACACCCTGTCAGAAGCTCTACTGTACGGCCTCTAGGGTTTGAACAATTCTTGGGTCTTTCGTAGGACTGTGGCCGCTGCTACTAGAACATCTGCCGATCATCTGCTTCACGAACAAGTAAACTGACGTGCGCAGCTTGATATGCTTCCATGCATCGTCGGGGAGGCAAACAAGGCTTGCACACGAAACTGCCAAACCATGGCTGGCGTGCTGTCGGCATGAGGCCGGTCTCCGAACCGCAACTCCTGTTGCAAGGCTGTGAACGGTGGCTGGTAGGCCGCTCACGTCTCGCGCGCAAACTTGGAAGGAAACCACGCCTCTTCACGAATCCATCGAAGTGGCATCAAGAGCGACTTCGGCCACAAGCAGACGAAAGCTTCATCGGAGATGACGAGCCTCACAAGCCAATCGTTACGAAGTGGCCACGATAGAACTCGATGAGTTTACGAAATGGCTAGCATGGCTATGTAGTCGCAAAGAAGACAATGCTCTTTCGGGGCCAGGGGGCTGAGAGACATGACCTGGTGCCTCCCTGAAAAACTTGAGCTGGAGGAAGGGGCAATTTGGACATGCCTGGCATTGCACCAGATATGCATGACCTGGAACTGCAAGACCCTGCAAGTAGCCTATCCGGCATTGTGAGTTTTGTGGAAGCAAGTGCGGCAGGCAGACGATCTCAAAGCTGAAGCCGTCAGGCCAGGTGGCCAGGAGTCCTTCGCACTGTGCGAGCAGCCTAACAGCTGTCATCAGCTCCTGACCGCATTTTCTTGGTGCTCCTGGGTCAGGAAGCAAACCCAACCTTGCAACGAGACGCAGGGCAACTCAAAGCTGCTTGGCCGCTTCTGCGGGGCTTTGCTGGGTGGCTGACTCTAAGCGGCCCGGCCTGAGGCTGTCTCAGAAAAGGGCAGAAAAGGCATGCGTATGCATGCGTAGTTGTGTGCAGCCGATTAAAAGTGCCAAACCTGCCCAAGGTCTGCCGTTTCTTGCTGGTACCTCCTGATCTTCTCAAAGTACACGGCCTGAGATGGCCTGAGTGCCACACAGCAAGACCAGGTGTCGCCTCCGGGCAACTCACGACCACTGGAGACAACAGAACTTATACGCAATTGAGCCAATGAGACAAAGCACTCACGCTCGCATACCAGGACTTGCCTTACTGTGCTAAATTGACTCAGATGGCCTTCCTGGCTCTGCTGAGCGCCAGTTTCGCGCATAGGCAGCAGTCGCCTCCGGAACTTTCCGAAGTGCAGTCGTCCGCCAGGCCGTTCTACCGTGACAGCTAGGTTCAGTTCAGATCGCGGTCCTTTCGTGGCATTTCCATGGTGTAGTCTTGTGTAGTAGCTTCGCATGGCATCCAGATTTGAGGTGAGCTCGTAGGTGACGCAAGTGTCAAAAGCTGTAAGTTGCCGCCTCGCGGTGCTCCCAGGGCCTGGGAGGAAAGCGCGGATCAAGCTGTTCTGTTCAGCAAGCCGCGTGTCTGGAGTACGGTTCCTTTTGGCACCTGCCCACTGGACCCTCAAGAGGCCTGAGCGCGACACACCACCATATCTGGCACTGGGGCAGCGTTGCAGCTGTCTGAGGGGCGCAGTGTCGAGCTCCAGAACAACCGAGCAGCAGATCCGTTGTGGCTACTGGCCAACCCAACCGAAGCTGCGTGCCTTTGAATGGGCCCCCGTGCTGCGATTCATCTGCCATGAGACACACGGTGCCGACAAAAGCCGCAAAATCGCCTGCAGTTTGTGGCCAGCCATCAGCAAGCGCAACCTGTCGTGCTTTTTGCTTGGCATAGCTTGGCTGCAGGCGGATACCGGCCATGCTCAGACCCAGGACCACCTCCAAGCATGCGAAGATCTTTAGCTCCCACATCGCCAGTCATGTCTGCAAAAAGACACGCCTCCTGCAGCAGCAAGCGCAGCTCATCCTTCGAGGGCTCCGATCGCCACCAGAGCAAGTCCTGACGGCAGCTACGACGCAAGTCGACGACCCTCGCTCCGTTCAGTCTTCGCTCCTGGCTTCCGAAGGGAAACGGCCTAAGCTTGTTCACAAGCATTACTGCAGCCTCGCCTTTCGACAATAGTAGTGTTATGTCTTGTGCGGTAGCCGGCTTCTGGCGATTCACTACCAGGCGGGATGCTTTATGGCAGGTTACAATATGGGTCTTTCATGCAACAGTGAGCTTGCCAAATACGATAATTGAGAGTCCAACGCGAAGTTTGCGTCGGAAGCACTGCCTCGCACGCGATAGGTGCGCGTGATGCCAGGCCTTCAGTTGTTTGGGGCATTGACTGGGCTGGACAACTCCCGGAGCCATGGACCGGCGAAGCTGTGATCATGCAGTGGCCATACGACACCATCAGGCTTTGACCACACAACCTCGCCAGCGCAAAACTAAGATGATGACTCATCGCTTAACCTGAGAGGGTACAGTGTGTGCATCGCCCCTAGGAGCTGCTTTCCATCTACGAAGTTTACCACCGTCCAAGCTGCGGATAGCAACATGCAAGACAACAAAGGCATCGGCATGGACACAACCTGCAGGTCCCACCTCGGTTTGCAAAGCGCAAGAGTTGGCTAACAAAGCTGTGGGAAGTAAAGAAGAGCGACATGGAACCCTGACAGGAGCCTTCGCGACATTCAAAGCCGAGAAGCCACTCGGCATCGCGAAGGTGCTGGGCAACCCGAGCCGAAGCCTGCAGCCGCGTGGACGTGTCCGGACTCCTACTAAACAACCGCCAGGCCTCTTTGCCACTTCCCGGGGCTGCACGTAGAATCACTGGCGAGGCCAGGTGCATAAGACGTGGCCTCAAGGCCCCCTTCTGCATCTTTACTTTGCCCTACTCTACACATCCGTGGCTCTGCTTGAGATGGTGCAAAGTGCAAAGTCCGAGAGCCGAGCCGCACCAAAGACTTCCGAAGGCTTGGCCTCTCAGCTCTTTGAAGCTTCTCTGGACGCCGTCTCCTCTCGCCCAGAAGGCATCGAGGCTCCGACGAGGCCAAACGATGGCTCAGTCGTGGGCGATGGCGCAGCGAGAGCCGGGCGGAGCCTGCAAACCCATCCCCCCCCCCCCACACACTCCCGGCTACGGCCTGGGCCCTGCTCTGAGCACAGCACAGGATGCCAGAACAGCCAAAGCTCCATGCAGGCCTCATACGAGAACATCACCCCAGGCCCATCCCTCCCGCATCCCGGTCCGACGAGCACAGAATGTCCTACATCTACCCGAACACACCAAGGCCTGGGCATAGCACACCCTTCGGGTGGCCCATGGCCTTGGCTGGAAGACGGCAGGCAGGAAGAGGAAGCCCCAGGCTGGACAAATTCGAGGCCATGGCACTCAGCGCCTGATCCAAGACATCCTGCAGGCCGACACTTCCATGATGCTCCATGCACTGTGGGGACTTGCAGGCGAGGCTTCTGCATCCTCCTCCATGAGACAACATTGCGCAGCATAACTCTGTTCGGTGTCGACCCATGCGAGCACTTAGTGAGCCTGTCGTCTCCAAATTGACGTACGGGTGTTCTGTTCTTTTCACCCGCATCGTCTACGAACTCGGAACACTAACATAGACAAACACCGCCAAGTCAAGAACTCCAAATCTTGCATCGTCAGCATTGTGCATTCTTCAGCCGGTCCAGGTCGCAGCATGCCCCTGCTGTCGCTGCAGCCTGTCCGGCCAATTCAAGCTCGTCGCATCTTTGCAAAAAGACTTCCGACAAGCAATAATGCCATGTCGACCGGCGCTTTAGGGACTCGCGCTTCGGCTGCAAACTGTTGTTGACATCATGTCTCCACACTGCCCAATTCGACATTCTAACTACAGTAAACTGATCAGAGCAGGGGCCAGGAATGTCTTGCAGAAAACGCACCTGGTTTTCAATATTTTCTTAAGGCTCTGCAGCGGCCTCCCCGACCATGGCTTCAGAAGAGGTGCCTCGGATCGTTTTGTGAACTCTCGGGGGGCAGGTGAATTTGCTTTCCGCCTGCTGTTGTCAAGGCCGGCTTTTACATCTTTCCTGCACACACCAGTGCTGCGACCCACGCATTCGCAAAGTCTCTGCAGCGCTCTTCTCCAATCGATCATCGAGGAAGCCCTGGCTGGAGCCGTGCCAGTCCGGACTTAAAAGGAGAGAAACCCTGCCAGGATGAGCGCCCATGCTCGATCATGCCATGCATTGCCATGCCATCAGCAACAGTTAGCAGGTTGGCCGCTGGGCCCTTTCTTCTGCAGAATTGTCTGCACCTCTGCAGGTGCCATGTAGGCATCCGGCCCATCCAAGCGCGAAGGTTCCTGTGAGGGGCAGTTGGCAACGCTGAGGTCCTTGGTCGGCTGCTTCAGTACGAGTCGGAAGGTGGAGTCGGAGAGTCGGGGTGAAGCAGAAAGGGGGGCTGCTAGGCATGTTACAAGTTGCTGAGCGGCGCTTACAACAAGTGGCAAAACTCGTCGAAAGCCACGACAATGCTGGGTCTGTGGCACCAGTGCAGGCGGTACCTTGGAAGTCCACCTCCAGGATCCACGTGCTACCCCAACAGATTCGACAGTTGTCTGCATCAAGCTCCTGGCTCTCTAAGGTTCTGTCACTGATTTGCTCACCAGGTCCCGCACCAACTGGGCATCTGCCGCCTGCTTGCCAAAAGCGCGGAACGGTGCGAGGCGCCAAGGTCCCAGGAAAACTCGAACCTCCCGGCAGAGTAGTGAGTAGTGCCCAAATCAGTCAACGCAACATATTTTGCCGAGAGGCTGCATAGCGTCTCAAAGCGGTTCCTGTTGCCAAGGCTGCCTTCCATTCGAGGAAGCATGAGGCTTTGAGAAGTCCGCATCCAGGACCTCGAAGCCCCCGAGGTTTGCAATCCGTTGGCCGAAGGCCCACACTGCACCTGCGCCTGGCTGCCGAAACGGCCGAATCGACTGAGGGCCTTTTGACTTTTGCTTCTTCGGGCGAGCCCGCCTGAAAGAAGCGATGCAGGTCCAGCCAAGTCCTCGAAGGGAACCTAAGCGAACCATCGCCATGCGGGCCATGCGAACCTTTGAAGACTGGTCGTGACACGGTCCTGACATTTTGAGCTGGAGGCCAGACTGCTGCTGAGGAGCTAATCCTCGCCAGCCCCCTGTGGAAAATCCGAAGCAATCACCTGCCGGAGTTGGACTCTCTCTGCGGCCGTGGTTCCAGCATGTATACGTCTAACAAGAGAGAAGGACAGCACACTTTCGCATGCGCACAAGAGTCACAAGAATCAGCTAAGCATGGACGGTCTTCGCTCCTTTGACTCCAAATCGGGTCTCTCGGATGTCAATGGCCACAGTGGGTGTGGGGCAGCCTCAGTTGAGCCATCTGTTCTCCACCAGCTTGCG